ATAGTGTTCAGGGTAACTAAAGAAAGACTTATGTTACAGAGGGTACACAAGGTAAAATAGTACCATCAGTTGATATATTTAATGCTAGCTCTTGTTGATAAGTGTTCAGGGGTAAACTAAAGATAGACTTACGTTACAGAGGGTACACAAGGTAAAATTGTACCATCAGCTGATATATTTAAAGTTTGCTCTTGTTGATAAGTGTTCAGGGTAAACTAAAGAAAGACTTACGTTACAGAGGGTACACAAGGTAAAATAGTACCATCAGCTGATATATTTAATGCTTGCACTTGTTGATAAGTTTTCAGGGGTAAACTAAAGAAAGACTTACGTTACAGAGGGTACACAAGGTAAAATAGTACCATCAGCTGATATATTTAATGCTTGCAATTGTTGATAAGTGTTCAGGGGTAAACTAAAGAAAGACTTACGTTACAGAGGGTACACAAGGTAAAATAGTACCATCAGCTGATATATTTAATGCTTGCACTTGTTGATAAGTGTTCAGGGTAAACTAAAGAAAGACTTATGTTACAGAGGGTACACAAGGTAAAATAGTACCATCAGTTGATATATTTAAAGTTAGCTCTTGTTGATAGGTGTTAAAGGTAATCTAAAGAAAGACTTACGTTACAGAGGGTACACAAGGTAAAATAGTACCATCAGCTGATATATTTAATGCTTGCACTTGTTGATAAGTGTTCAGGGGTAAACTAAAGAAAGACTTATGTTACAGAGGGTATGCAAGGTAAAATTGTACCATCAGTTGATATATTTAAAGCTAGCTCTTCTTGATAAGTGTTCAGGGTAAACTAAAGAAAGACTTACGTTACAGAGGGTATGCAAGGTAAAATTGTACCATCAGTTGATATATTTAAAGTTTGCTCTTCTTGATAAGTGTTCAGGGTAAACTAAAGAAAGACTTACGTTACAGAGGGTACACAAGGTAAAATAGTACCATCAGCTGATATATTTAATGCTTGGACTGTACCACTCTCTGTAATATTGGTGTCTATTTTATCAGTGTCTTTATTTACATTCAGAACCTTCTTGACTAAATTTACCACAGTATCTATATAGGGTAGAAAATAGGACATGAATTTTAGATTAAAATAGCTGTGCGCCTCTGATGGAAGATAAAATTGTAAAGAAATAAGTATTTCAGTATGATAACAATTTAAGATTGCAGTTCTTATTGTCATATGGTGAAACAAGCACCTGCTAGCTATTTTAATCTTTTAATCTGAAGG